CGTTCGGCCCGAACGGCCGAACGCATCCCCAAGGGGTCCCATACGTTCGGGCGTTCGGGTTCGGGCGCTCGGCCCGTCCCGAACGCCGGTTACCCTGTATATATATATATATTGATTACCCTGGCATCCAGGGGATTGACTGAGCAGGAGGTAGTCGATGTGGCTCTTGCTAGTGGATTTTAGTCTGCTGGCAGACTCGACAACTTCCCAGAACTCATTTTCCTCCATACTTCGGAATAAACCCTTTGCGACAAACTTCCATAAGTCTTTTCTTTTTTCTTTTTCTTTTTTTCGTCTGCTGGTGGTACTACTGAGGTTGATAAAAGCATCGCCTGGTAGTACCTATACCCCACAGCTGGTTCTTGTCTGTTGGTGGGGAGCTGCACATGCTGGAAACCGGGTCCAGCATCACACACAGATACAGTAAGCACATATTTTGAAGGGGTCATTAACCCCTTCGGCTTCAGAAGACGCTACCTGAACTGTGTGATGTTGTGGGGCTGGTATGACAATGACGCTGTGCTGAAATGGCATTGTGTGAGGAGAACGAGACCGCGTTGATTGAGCCGGAGGGCACCAGAATTCAGTAGCAGCACAGGACACTGACCCTGTGCAACCCGACTCCCATTGCCAGCCTCCTTGAGAGGCATTAGAGAAAATGGGTATCGGTGTACATCCGACTCAGCTTGCATACCATTGAGCTTCAACCAGGGAGAGGCAATGCGGCAGGAAGGAGTCGGGGAACTGTGTTGCTGGTCTGAGGGGGAAGTTCGGGTCTATCTTTTTCCAGTCGTTAAAGACAAAAGATGGTAGTCCAGCTTGTTTACGTCTTTTCCTTTTTTGTGTGATGTTGGCTGGTCCTGTGGGTGCCACCCTTTGCCCGTTGTGAGGGTCCTGTGGGTGCCTGGTTGGTAGGCCCTCTATTCCTCCCCCTCTCCTATGACTCAAATTCTATATACATCTTTCTTGTCGAGCCATTTGAAGGGATTGGGGCTTCCTCTCAGCCTGCCTTCCTAGCACATCATCCCGGCGTACCATATGACTCCTTCCTACCCTCTCCGTCTCCCTCAATTTGGCTATCCAGTCTCCTTCCTCCAGGGTTGGGCCTTTCCAGAGGTTGGCATGCCAAGCCAGGGCGAGGGCGTCAGTTAGCACCTCCATCCCTTTTTCAATTTGGTGGCAGTATCGCAGTTTATCTCGGAGCTGTTTTGTGGTTTTCCACTCCCTGGTCTCCATGTTCCATAGGTCTCCAACCCTCAAAACTCCATGCTTCACCCACACTTTTCATCGCGCGTCCAAGCTACATATTACTTGGCGCTGTGCATCAGTACACCAGTGTTCGCTGAATAGTGGTTGTGTGAACATCTCCTCCTGGAGCTTTGGTGGGGTTCGGTTTGGCAATGGGAACTTCCTCCAAGTGTTTATGAGCCTGGGCCAGAAGCTATCA